CGTGGTAAACAGCTAGACATTTATCGACAGGCTTCTACAACAATAGTGTACCAATGACCTGTATTGAAAATTACAGAAACATTAAATAAGGACGCATGCCATATATACTGCTAACTGGCCGGATGTTAATACCGATAATGTACGAGAGTAGGTGACGCTTGAATAGGGATCATATTAATTTGCAACGCTTATTAGTTCATCTCATTTCTGGTAAGAGGCGCCGACTGGCGAGCATGTGGCCTTGATCAAAAAAGTTTTGGCAACTGCAACTGAGTTCCTGTCACCACATGTAATCCTCGAAAAGTCTATCGTATTAAAGTGCAAAGTTTGATCTCCCGTATACATTCTTGCAAATGGGCTTATGGTGTGAAGGAAGGATGATCATGGACCATTTATTGATAGTGTACGACCGTGACCTTTGGTTCTGCAGTCTGTCCCGATTTCTTTAAAACTATGGCTGCATATAAGCGAGCGAAGCAAATGCGACAGATTTGCGGTAGATATCAAATGCAAAAAAAAAGGTTGATGATGCTCATTTGCTTCTTCATGAACCCGGTAGTGTCAGCAAAACAACTCTCTCATGGTCATATGTTGCGAAATACTACTTAAATACTACTAAGAAGGCATGCCTATATCGATCCCTGTCATTCAGTCTTACCCTTTGACGCAGTGGGCGGCCGTCAGAGCGAACTTCTCGTTGATAATTGACGCCCCACAGAAGGGACTGTTTCCGTTCGAAGTCGACATTCCCAACTGAGGAGAGATAAATCATCAGAAAAAGGAAACTTAAGGGTCATTCCCTGCTTCCCTTTGTCTCTTGAAGACAAGAGAACTATGTCCATTTCCTTGAATCAGTTCGTGTAGCCCCTCGAAAAACCGTTAACATTTATGCTATGGAGTGTCTTGGTTCTTTTTTCCTACTTTAAACACCTTACTTTATCACGTCAGCGTCACAGAGAGATGGTTCGACATTCGTCCAGAATTAGGACACCGGTGATATCACCCCAAAAATACGATAGCTGTCAAGGTCTCCTGCACTTTACGAGACACTCTGACATTTCCAGGGGAACAAAATCAAACCAAAAACGTGCAAGAGGGATTAACTAAACATTGGGTATAGATCAAGGATAATGATCGATTGAAAGGAAAAGTGAGTCGTGCAAGTAAAATGTGGTGCTTCATTACCTTCGTTAACTCAGTATAACAGACAACTCATGTACGTTATTTAATGTTCTTTCCATGTTTCTCTCACGTTAATACTAGGAAGGTGTTAATTTACAGTACACTTGGCCCACTCACCAGCCACGGATAGCAGTTTTCCGGTGCCGGAGATCCTCCGACGATACGCAGCTGGTAGTTGCTCTTCCCGCAGATTGGGTCGTTGATGCGCACAGGAAGAGACGAGGATCCTCCAAATCCGCTGCTGGGTCCGCCACCGAATCCGCTGGATCCACTTCCAAATCCGCTGGGTACACTGCCAAACCCGGTGCTGGATCCACCTCCGAATCCACTGGATCCACCTCCGATTCCACTACTGGATCCACCTCCGAATCCGCCGCTGGATCCTCCAAAGCCGCCGCCGCCGCGGCCGGACGCCTGCACGGCGCAGCGCATGCGGCCCCGTCCGCGGCCGCTGGTGCGCAGCTCCACCAGCAGTTTGTCCTGCTGGTCGGCCATCGTTAGCCGTCTGAACGGTCCGGACCTGCCGTAGAAGCGGGTACAGCCGCCGCCGTGGGAGAGCTGCACGTAGTCGCCCGGCCCCAGGGTGAAGTCCTCGCAGCTGAGGGTCAGGCTGCGGCCAGAGTTCCACGGCTGGGGGAAGGGGGGGGGGGCAAGAGATGTTACCTGAGCTGTGGTGTAGGACTTACAGAGTTCCACGACTGGGGGACAGAGTAGAAAAATGAGGCAGTGGATAACAATGCACAATATAAAGCTTTTGTTAAACTGGTGGTAAATATTACTAAGGCTACCAGAGCATTGGAAAGCTGCATCATCAAATAAAAGAAATGCAAAACAGTGAAAAAGATAACATATTCCAGATTACCATGGATTTACACCCATCATCGTAATTGGCATTCTCAAGATTTTGTTTTAATTCTAATATTATTAATTCTACGAGTTTTAATGATTAGAGGATGATTCTGTCCGCTGAAAAGTCCTCATCAGCTCATTAGGACTTACCCTGAAGGACCATGATGTCCAGATGAGACCGCGGTATGGAGAAAAGTAGCCGGGCGATTGGAGAGTCATTCGCACGTTGTCGTTTAGCATATAATTTCCAGACGAACCGGCTGTAAAAACGAGGATGGATTTTCAGTGAATCATCAGAGATTACATAATGCATCATGACCATAAAAATATTGTCATATTTCCTGGAAATATGATTTCCTTCCACGTAAAAGGGTTTGCGTCAGAGCTTCGTGTATTTATTTTTGAGTCACTAATACTTTAGATAACGAGTTTAGCCAGCGACAGCTTCCATCATCCTTCCCTGTCTATCACGTCTCTCTCTCTCTCTCTCTCTCTCTCTCTCTCTCTCTCTCTCTCTCTCTCTCTCTCTCTCTCTCTCTCTCTGTCTCTCTGTCTCTCTCTCTCTCTCTCTCTCTCTCTGTCTCTGTCTCTCTGTCTCTCTCTCTCTCTCTCTCCTCTCTCTCTCTCTCTCTCTCTCTCTCTCTCTCTCTCTCTCTCTCTCTCCCTCTCTGTCTGTCTGTCTGTCTGTCTGTCTGTCTGTCTGTCTGTCTGTCTGTCTGTCTGTCTGTCTCTCCCTCTCTCTCTCCCTCTCTCTCTCTCTCCCTCCCCCTCCCTCTCTCCATCTCTCCCTCTCTCACTCTTCCTCTCACCTGGCTCGTTATTGTTGATGAGGAAGGTCGGCTCCGACACGAGCTCCTGTGGTGTCCGGTCACCGTTCCGGCTGAGACGCTCCTCGACCGTCATACTCAGCTCCTTACCGGCCACCCACTGGGGGAGAATGGAAAAGTCCTCATTAGGGGACAGGTCAGATAGGGTTAGGGATTGTCGTAAATAGGCCAACATGAGTCAAACAGGTGTGGGGGGATAAATCAGGACCCAAACAGTCATTTCGATCAAGGTGGAAAGTGGAACGGGATCAGGATGGGTCTAACTGGATCGAGAACCTGTAATGCATATCGGTCAGACTGGGGTGCCGTAAAAGGTATGAACACATGCATAAGCGTAGGAACCATGGGTGCAAGGGTGCAGCTGCACCCACAATATTTCTCCAGTGGGTGCAGACAATGTATTCTGCACCCACAATAATCTGAACCAAAAAACCCTTTTCTCATCAACACTACTTCCCATGCAGCACGGCAAATTCAGGATATGTTGCCCACTATCCATCTTTCGAAGCATTTGCTATTGTGATTGTCTTCAAAACTTACATTTGTGCTGAAGAAAAAAGGGAAATGGAGCATGTGATTGAACACATACCGAACCGATGACCCACTGTCAAAATTTTTAGCCCGATGTCTTCGAAAATGGCTAAGCTGGCCATTTTTACTTTTTGCGGTAGTCAATATTGACACTACCCTCGCATGTGTGCGGCGTTTTCCAGCTTCTAATGCGTAGGGGGAGGGGGAGGGGGTCAGTTGGACCCCCTGCCGTTCGGCCCCTGATCGAGCTAGAGCTTCGCGAAAAAAACGAGGGTGTTGCCCGTGACGAGAGGAAGCCGATGATACCCAATTTTAAGGTCCTAGGTCATTGGTTGACCTTCCAGGTCAGGTCAACGTTCCAAAAGTCGGAAAATCGGGACCTGCTAGAACTGCGTAAAGTGAAGCTGTTATCGGATTTTTCGGGGTGCTGATCACAAATATTATGTGATCACGAATATCATGTTAGTTTTGATCACAGGGGATTTCTTCATGCATTTAGGCCAGATTGGGTCAGGTCAACCATTAGGCGTCCTAGCGGCTATCCATAGTAGGTGTAAACTACCACTGACGGCGTCGTAGCATGTTACGAAGGCACTAAAACTACTTCGTAAACGTTCAAATGGATGCTAAATTCGTAATCAGCCCGAAAAACTGCCCTAAAAACATGTAAAACTCGAAAAAGTGAACCGAGGTCATCAAAAGTCAATGACCTGACCTGACCTTCAGGTGACCTTCACACCGACCGTGATGCATGGGACGAACATCATTTCACATGTTTGGACGTCTACAATGACAAAAAGACTGGAAACGCGCGGATAGGATGTGAGCTGACATAGGTACGCCAAATCGCGATTCCGGCCGAACATGGTCTCGAGAATCAGGTCACAGGTCAAAGGTCTTTTGGGTCAGGTTCATGAAATTTTCAGAGTAGGTGTAAAACTGATCAACTCGAGGGTACTGAAAGTTTCGTCGCGATGGGCCGCTTTTTGCGCGAGCTATTTGTGAAAAACCATGGGGAAAAGAGAGAGAGAGAGAGAGAGAGGTGGTCCATCAGACCCCCCTACACATGCGAGGGTTAATGCTTCCTGCTTCCAAATGCACTTATCGGTCCCGGTCGGTACCTTTTCGACATGGTACCAACCAAGGCCGTATACCTACACCCTCAAACCCTCAAAGCTCGTAACGAGCCTTCGCTCGGGTATCGCTCCCTACTCCCCGCCCCCCCCGCTTCACCGGCCATGGCTGTGGATTTCTGCACCCATGCACCCACAATGCTCCAGCCGTTCCTACGCCCATGAACACATGTAGCCGGGACTTTTTACAGTTATGAACAGCTTCAGCTACTTGCCAGTTACTTGAGTTCGTTTCCATGTTCAATGGAAATCCGGATGACCATACATTACTGCATTACTGGATCTTCCCGACTTATCCAGCATGACAACTTGAGGAATTTAATTTCAGACGTCTCCGGATCGTTCAATCCTGCACTCAAATGCAGTCTTTTACGTGAATTCACCCTCGTCGGTTTATCAGACGAGGACAATATATATGCATTGCAAGGATTAATGTTATTAGTAGCTATGCATCGTGAGTGGCTATTGTTGGTTTGACACAATATCTTGTTAAAACATTGTTGGTAAGGCTAACGTTACAGTGTAAACATAAAGCTACAATGATCGACAACCAATGTTTTTGATCGACCTTTTTCATAAAAAGATGAGCCTTCAACAACAGAATGTGCGAATCACTGTAAGAATCTGAAGTTTAAATACGAGTATAAGCCTACACAATATTCAGAAAGCATAGCTTGACTGAATCAGAAATCAAGTAAGCCCACTCTAAGCTGCGAGATGTGCATGACCTCAAAACATCGAGGCGTCGTACCGAATGCACCCTTTGACCTTTGGTGAGCTGTTGGAATAATTTTTGTCTTGCACTTTGATAAGCCTTTTAGTGAGACGGCGTGCCGCAAAGCTCAGGTATTACTGGTTGGTTGTGACTTGTGACATGTGTGGACCTCATCTGATTTATAGCTGCGTTGTCGGTTCCGGATTAGTTGTTATTTTCAGGAATCCATGGATTCACCACAGTGCACATACTCTTCAAACACAGGTCGACATTTGTACGCTCATTAGCACTCATTAGACATGCAAATACCGCGACCAAATGTAAAAATGACAGGTTAATCGAATAGCTTAGGTAATCCATCAAATCCGGCAGACAGGTCTGAAATGACAGCCCGCCGCCGAATGACTGACCTCAGGCTGATCTGAGACCTGCACCACGAAACCTTTGTCCCAGGGGGCCCCAGTCAATGACCCGTTATAATCTCACGGAAGAGGATTGCTGGAATTTGGGTAAATGGCTAGATGATGGTGGCTTTGAACTTCACAAAACTTTCCTCAGAAGACAGGATAAAATATACGTTTTACGCATTCTCGCCAGAGAATACATGCATGATTTATCTGGCATGCAAGTACTTTCCCAATCTTAGAAGAACTTGACAGCATTTTGCTTGTGGCAGTGGGCTAACGCACTGCCATCGCTGACATTAAAAAAGCATAATAAGTGGAAATATTATTTAGCACGACTTTTTCGACATTTATTGTATGTAATTTTACAATATGGTGGAAAGATGGACCTCGTACATTAAAAGGTCAAGCCACTATGGTATCGTCCAGACTGAAAACTAATTTCACGTACTTCAGCATTTTTCCGTTACCACACATAATCAATTGATGGGAGGCTTTGACAATCACAGAAAGCAATCTTCATCTCTGGCTTCACTTTGTTTTCTCTAGCCTAGCCAACCTACTCTAACCTAAGATAAGTGATCAGAAAGGTTAGGTCAATATATTCCACCACCCCAACAACGAAGAACGACAAAAAAAAAATCGATTGTTCATTCATTCAAGTGTCACCGACAACGGTCTAAGACCCTTGGCTCGGTTGGGAAGAAGTGCAGTGGAGCATCGCCCCTTTATATGGTGCGCTTCACTTTAAAACCCAAGTTGGAAACCCCAGGGTCCAGACACAGCGAGAAATCGCCGCTGGAATGTGCCCTAATATTTTCACGAGATTTCCAAAATGCCTGATGCTTCTGAGTTAAATACTGGAGCGGACAACTTGCATAGAAACCGGACAACGCGCCGAAGTTATGTAAGCACGGGTATCTCTCCGTCACAAAATAAATCCCTTTCGTACGGTGTGCACTACTTCCAGAATAATATCTGTGGGAGCAGTAGTCAGGCACTGACTGAGCTGGAACTGATTTCTCTCTTTTGATAATTAAGAGTCTTAATGAGCACGCAATCTTCTAGGTCGTATCCAATCCTTTGGCGGCCGGTAAACATCTTCTCAGAACTCACTGTTGATCACATTAACTGTTAACGCCACGCCAATCAAAGCTGTCAGTCACAATTCTCTTTAGCACGCAAGGTTGAACGCTGAATGTTTGCAAGGACGGGTGGGGATAAACGATCCATCGGTTCTATTGTTAGATTCTTTAGAATAAGTGAAGAAGCGTGCAAAAATGACGGGCACAAAAATATATACTTTCCAAGCAATAAGTCACAAAAAACTCGTAAAATGTAGAAATTGACATCATAAGGCAATTATGACGATAATGAAAAATGAAATTCCGGTTTCATCTAAAACATATATTCAAAAAACAACCATTCCTTAATCAGCTATTAAAGGACAAAACTATCAGAACTGCATGCGCTCCTCTAGCAATGTTGTGATTGCCTCATGCACCCACTTCCGTTTTCCCATCGTGCGGTTCCTTTGAAGCTAATCAAAGACGCCATGCACTATTATCTGCACATATTATAACGGTATAGTTCTGATCTGCTGCATGTGACTAGCCGATGGTAAGTTCCAACATGAAGCACAAAACGGGAGTCCAGTAGCAGATTATGACATTGAACAAGCCGTGACATGGAAAGATAGCAAATACTCTTCATGTGTCGCTACACAAGTTTCGTGAAAACTAGATCACAAACAACATCGAATGAACAGATTGGAATGCCGATCTTCTAGATCTGCCTTATCATCTTGTAAGCATTTAGCAATAATTCTCCCATAATTTAATATGGGAATTAATTGTTAATTTTCTTGAGAGTACCATTCTAAAAGCTCCATTGTATTTAGTTTTGGATAGCAATATTCGTAAGCCTATACATTGTCAGACGGGTAACTGTTTGGGATATTTGGAGAGTGCCGTAAGCCATTCGAGCGTTATCTTCTCGACAGTAAAAAAGCATACCTATCAGTCAATCGTACTTACCTGAGCTGTCACCAGAAGCAACGTTCCAGCTATCAGCAGCATGATGTCCGCTTGGTTGGCGCACACAAATCCGACAGCTCACAACAAACGTCGAACACGACAGCCGAGATATCGAACACACAGCGATGTGCGCGCGGTCTGTCAATCGGACAGACCGACGGACAGACAGGAAGGTGATCAGCTAACTCCCACTGGGGAGAGCAGCGCCGCAGCAGACAGAGGACAGAGAGGGAGGAGGGAGGAGGGAGAGAGGGCACTGCGTCCAGCCGCACTCCCGGCCAGGACAGGAGCTGAGGCGGCGATCACCGACCGGCCGCAATAAGTAAGGCCGCCGCTCGACACCAACCTCGCCGAGGAGCGTCCGGAACGGGTTTGGTCGCACCGAGAGACGTCCGGTGCCGGCGGCACCACCGGTAGAGGGGTGCCGTACGTACGCGTCACAGGAGGGGTGCCGTACGCCGTACGCGTCACCGGAGGGGTCGACCGACTGCGTCACGGGGGCACCGGCGACCAGGTTCGCCGCGACCGGGGCGAACACTGGCGCAGCAGTGACCGGCGCCGCAAAGTAACCCGGAAGTCCAAGGAGTCACCTACCTAATATAAGCCAGTGTTCAATGGAAGAAGTTTGATGAAATTATGGGACTTCATCTGTCAATGAATAGGATGAGCAATGAACATGTCAGCTTATGTAAATATGGCAATGCTATTGTTGCTCATCGCGATTGTCTGTAATGTCGTATTTTAGTACTAATTCGAAGAAAACTCAATGCATAAGCCAGCATGCCTACATGTCATTTAGTTACGTCTTTTGGTTGACCCACGCCGTGGCGGAAGAGGGGATGGAATGGGCTGGGGGTTGGGAAATGTTGTAACTCTTCCCTCTTTGTCAGAATCATAGGATGCCTCATTTGAACTGATATTGTGTATCTTACCCCGGCATAAATGATGCCTCACGATTCCCATGTTTCCAATGATGTCGTTGATTGAAAGTCAATTCTTAGATCTGACCATTCAAAATACGCTTTAACCCTCGCCCTGGCAGGGCATTTTTCATAACACGGCCTGGCAGGGGGGGGGGGGTCGATGCGACCCCCCCTCGTGATTGGCTCCTATGGCACCTAGAAACACCAAATTTGGTAGGTAGGTGGGCCCCCTGGAGTTCTCGCTCCTGTGCAAATTTGGTTGCTCTAGGTCAATATTTAGGGGGGTTTTGGGGGGTATAAATGTAAAAATTTCGCTAAAAACAGGTCAAAAGTTTTTCGCTTATAACTTTTGATCTAATTAAGATAGCGCAAAAAGAAAAGCACCAGTGAACTCAGCACGTCAAGGCGCGTCGAATGATATACTTTTTAGCCTGCTTAAGTGTACTTAAAGTTTTTCTTAAAGTTTAAGTGAACTTAAATTAATAAATTAAGTTCAAGTTAACCAAATTGCATCATATCGCATATCAATCGATTCGGCTGATCACTAGGAACGCAATGATACCATTTTTTAAGCTCTAGCGTCATTATGTGCCAAGTTATTGGCAAAAACGTCATTTGACCTCAGTTGACCTCATTTGACCTGACCCATGGATAGGTACACCAAACAAAGCAGCACCAAGTGACCTGCTGTTAAGTACTGTGGTTTCAAAGCACAAAAGTGATAGAACGAAGCGGATATCTCCAGTATTTTCCGAATTTAGTATTTTCCCATAGGCTTAACATTACGACGTAATGACCTCTAACTGACCTCAGGTCAGTGACCTCAAAAACCCGAACTATATGTTATACAACTCGGTGAACTTAGCACATCCTGAAAGTTTGAAGGAAATCAGTCCAAAACTGTGAGTTGGACAGGTGCAAAAAGAAAATTGAAATTTGACCATGACCTTGTACCGGTTTTTCTGACCTGGTGACCTGACCCAAGGTCACCCGGACCTGAAATTTTCAGGTCATATGTAAAAAGGTTGCCCCATAGGCTGTGCCAAATTTGGCGGCGCTGTGCGCCGCCGTTTTTACGCTATCTTCGAAAAACCTTAGGGGGGGGTCGCATCGACCCCCCCCCCCCTGCCAGGGCGAGGGTTAAATAATACGACGCATATAAAAACAAGAAACACGACACCTGTATATCTGGTTACGAGTGAGCGAGCGAGGCGAAGTCTTCGTAAAATAGCAAAAAAAGAAAAGAAAAAGAAAGAATATCAGTGGCCGGCCGCTCATACTCAGACATTCCTGCCATTTTACGAAAGACTCTGCTTCTCTCGCTAGTTCTAATGGCGCAGAAAAGCGGGGTGCATCGACAAGGTTAACTCAGGCCGTGAATATTTCTATTGGGCAGATCGGTTAATAGTTACACCACAATAAAGCAGGTTTATTATAGGAGGAGCATCGACATCAGCAATGTTCGTTCGGGCACACTATACGACACCAAATTAATTCTTCAATCTTCATTATGTCATAAAACCCATGCCGCGCAGGCACACATAAAACGACCAAGAAGCTGCCGGAATGTGGGCCGTAGACCCCCATTCAGCCCAGTCTAGTTTCAAGCAGGTTTCAAGTGACAATCATCTGTTCCCGAAACCCAAACAGCATATCCAGAAGCGTCAATTTCCCCAGACGAAGAGCCGAAGCTATGCGTGTGGCGTTGGCTTCATATTCGCAACGGATTTCTTACGAAATGGTGGGAAAAGAAAATGGTTCCACAGATCCTCTCCGGTATAAAATTATGCTCATTTGAAAGTCTCATAATTCCGACAGCCTTTGTTTCATTTCGATGACCGTCAGTGATTCTTGGTCTATGGGAAAATGAACATCATTTTTGAGCTTACCGACCTGTGTAGAAATGATCACAGATGATATCGCTCGAAGGTTAAAAAATCACAAAAGCGCACGTATACAGCGAGCTGTACAGGTATAAATCAGAGCATAAACAATCAATTACACACCAAATAATTAATCAAAAGTGCTTCTATATATGGTTCCAAAAGGGACTATTTTGACATGTCATCTGAAACAGCAATCGAATGTCTTCGACCCTGGCAGCAGAGAATATCTGAGCCAATTCATTGAGCTCCGCTGCTAGCTGCAGTTTCTTCGATTGATCTTCGGCGAGGCCTTCCAGAAGTCTGTTGAGTGGAGTTTCGATCCAGAAGCAGCTGAACATCCCTCGCTGGACGGACCGCTGGAGGATCTCCAGCGATGAGACGACAAGGGACAGCAGAGTCGGTGCGGACCGACGCTGCGGACACAGAAACATCGGTCGGGATTGACAAACTATACGATGGAAGCGAGGACAAAACATCATCTGTACGGGGCTGAGGGTCTCACTCAACTAGGAGAAATAGATACATGTTATCCAATGAATATACCAGTTGACCCGCGCCCCATTGGGGTCTGCCGAGCAACGCGACCTGTTGGGAGGGGGGGGGGGCAATTTGGCCCTCCCCTAAGATCTCGAGGAGAACCACGCAACATAGCGACAAGCAGCAAACTGTGTTGGATAGCCCCAACAGGGAATTACCTTGCGACCTAATTTCATTGACCTAGGTCAAACCGATGACGTCACAGGTCAGGTCAAATGTCGAATTTTCACCGTTTACAGGCATTTCAAGAAATGCGTTGTAAAATCGAGTAAAATGTATTTCATTGAAAATTATCGATAGAGATCGATAGATCGATAGAAAGTTATCGATTCGTCAAACACATATTCTGCTATTTGAGGTCACTGATGCCAGGTGACAGGTCAGTTCACAGAGGTCAGGTTACTGAGGGTCACAATATGAAAATATCATGTGATGCATGTTTTATGGTCCATTTTGTATGCCAAATGCGATTATGTGGGTCAGGCAGCCTTTGGGGCCAGTTAACATTATGTTCTGGTGAAGGTCAGGTCAAGTTCAGGTCAAATTAAGTCAACTTTCAAATTTGATATTTTTGCTTAAACGGGTATCAATTCGATGCAGCTCGTCACGGAGAGTTCAATGGTGGTCTCTGTTTAACGCTACATGGTCTAGAATTGCAAAAAAAAGAGTTAAAAATTTGACGTGATCAATTTTGAACAGTTTTTTTCGCTATAACTTGGCCAAAAAAGGAGGTATCGATCTAAAATTTGGTATGTAGATAGAACAGCGCAGGCACTATCACATATTCGGTTTTCTTTTAATTCGAAAAACTTTTGGGATTTTTTTTGCGCTTTGCTAAAAAATTAACCTTTTTAATTTTTGGTAGAAATCCCCAAGTTTTGAAAATCCGAGATAGCAGTTTGGTAGTGCCGTTGTTTCTCTACATGACCATATAAAGAACTTTGAAATTGCTTGGTAACTGTAGGTTTTGTGAGCATTTCAAGATTTCATGTTTTTGCTCATTTTTGCTCGAACATGACCTCAGTTTGACCTCAATAACTCCTGACCTAAGGTGATCTAAGACTTGAAATTTTGTATGAAGGTGTAAAATTGATGCCCAGGAAGGTACTGAAAATTTGGCGGCGTTTTCTTGCTATTCAGGAAAAACTACAGGTGGCCAAATTGCCCCCCCCCCCAACGGGGCGAGGGTTAAGTGATGGTGTTGCCACAGCTTTGCAGAAGCTGCTTCTGAAGAATGGTGATCCAAATATTGTTGGTGGGCAAGAAGGCAAATATTTATCAAATTTAACAACTTTTGAGGCTCCTGGTATTTTTGACCTAATACGAGAGTAACTGTTCGTAGGACATACGTTTTTTGTTTCACGGGAGAAGACATTAACTATCATTTTGATCGCTCAAGGATGCAAGTTTAGAGAGCCGTTGATGATATTCAGGTCACACGTAAGAATGCGCACAATGCACATGTTCCTAAAGAGGACACATGCTATTTGAGAGGCCCGTGGTTCTTAGTCATGCCGAAATACCGCATGCAAATTAACAAATTACTAATGAGCTCAATAAAACGTTAAGTAATATGCATGCTGACCTTAACCATTTTGCTGAGTGTGCCCAGTTCAGCTAGCCGCTAGCGCTGTGTGAAATGTCACCAGCGACATTTGCCGCTAGCGGCAGTTCTGAGTTCACACAACTAACCTGGTCACAGAGGGCGGCAAATGCCTTCAGAGCCGCCCGTTTGAGGACCACTGACTGAAGCGAGAACCTGATGTCCCAGCGACGCGCGGCGGCGACCATCTTCAGCAGTCGGGTGGCCCGCCGGACTGCCGGCAGGCGCTGCAGCACCTCCTGCTCCACCGCCAGCGGGTCGGGCGCAAACAAGCGCGCCGAGCCGTCGGTCGGAGGAGGTGACTTCAGGTCCTGCCGGCTGAACAGATGCCAGCGTGCCGGCCGGTCCCGAGGACGCAGCTCTACACCACACGGTCGGAGTGCCTCCCGCCGCAGCGCGCGCCAACCAAGCGGAGTGCGTATCATTGCTGAGAAATCCACCCTGACCACCGCGTCCTCCGAACGCAGCTGTGCACCCACCACGTTCTGCCGCTCTGTCACAGCTACCCTCAGCTCTGGGAATTCTT